GAGCAGATTAGAATTTTATTCCTCTACTGCTGCCTTTCATTTAGTTTTATTTGTATTGTTTTTATTGTGTGAAATGTTTTGTTTGTTTTTAATGAAATGAATAATGAATTACACTATAATATAAAAAAACTTTAAAACTACTGTAGGCCATTTTGTTTTTATAAATTAAAAATATATTGTGTCTTATACACACAATATACAGTATTGTGTATATATTGTGTCACCATTGGCGCCATTTTATTTACACAACAAAACATACCGGGTAAAGGATGGCGTTAAGTTTACTTCATGGAAGGCCCACCACCTCAGTCACTCGAGTTAGCTTCTGAGCTAATAATAATAATAATAATAATAATAATAATAATAATAATAATAATAATAAACTATAAAACTACAGTTCTTGTTCAGATGTTAAGTTTCTGTTCCAACAGGAACAACGATCAGGTCTAAAGTTTAATTTGCCTCAACTGGACCATCAACCAGGGCCGGCCCTAGCCAATTTGGTGCCCCGGGCAAGATTTCAGGTGGCTCACTGCAAATTTATATACATTCACATAGCAAATTAAAATGTTTTATCTCTGATTTTATTTTTCATCATTAGAAACCAGTTTGTTAAATATTTAACAATATAATTAATTTCAATCAGAACACCAGAGGTCTCTCTCACACCTGTTAAAGAGAACCCATTATGAAAAAGTCACTTTTATGTTTTTATGCTTCAATTTGGGTTTGTACTGCCTCCAGAAACAGTCCAAGCACCAAAAAAATAAATAAAAAAAACTAAAAGAAATAGTAAACATTTTTGTTCATATCAGCAAATGAGCTATTTCAAAAACCTGAGGATTGTGACGTCACAATCCGGGTGACCTGGCAACACCAAGGCGAGTCCAGCCCTTCACCTGGGAACCCAAGCAGAGACTCCACCCACTTCTTCACAGGACAACCACATTAGTTCTGCTTTTTTTACAGCAGTCATGGAGGACAGAGATGGTTGGCTTAACTTTATTTTTATTTTTGATGGCAATGTTCTAGCAATATTGCCAAAGGAATTTGTAGTTTGTGTAAATAATTTAACAGTTGACTCTTTTTGAAACTACTACCAGCAGAATTTACCCAAAGACGTTTAACTGAAGGAAACTTCTGTCCCTACTGCTCCGCACAAATCTGCAGAAGATGACGACGTAAGTGATGTGTTGTGTTTAGTATTGCTATTTGACACGAACACAATTTGTCATTTAGCACAAATTATTGTTGAACGTGCTGCCGGGATCGACGACCGAGGAGTCGAGCAACTTCGCCTTTCCATCTCCACTTTGTCAGCATCGAGAAGCGGTGACAGACGCACACTGACATCCACGGTCACCAGTCTGTCGCCCTCGCCCCGGTGGCTGCGCTTCGTCGTCAGCCGATCTGGCAGGGAGGAATTGTGATGGAGTGGAGACTCCTGCGCCACAGATTCGTCTCTCAGGAACCTCCAGGTTGCTGGGAACGGACCTTGTCCGCCCCTCATCTTCGCTGGCTTCAGGAAGCAGTGACAGACGCTCGTTGGCCTTTCCGGTCCCCAAGGCATCTGACTCTGGTTGGACACCCCAGTCTGTCCCTACCAAGCCCTCACCTGGTGTGGCCGCACTGCCTGCAGCCTTTCTACTGCTGTCGTACCATTGTGCTTCTGCTTGTAGCAGCCAATTTCACTTATCTGAAGTGCTAACACAAACGCTGGGTTGGGAGGGTGATGCCAACAGCAACTTATTTACATAAACAAGTCATTCTGAAGGGAGCTCAGAACAGGCACAACTGACCAGGTGAAATCTCTTTATCTGAAAATGATTTTGTGTATTAAACCTAATGAAAATGTTTTGTGTAGCCCACAGAATGTATCCTAACTTTTTCAAGGAACTATATCAGGTGCTCTTTAATGAGCAGCTAAGGACTGAAGCAGTTCTAAGGAGGTCCAGGGGTATACTCCCCATAAAATTATGTAAAAGATCTACTCAAACTATGATTTTACAGCTAGTTTCCGAACTATAAGACGCTACATTTTTCACAGCTTTCGACACTGCAGTTTCATCCTCTGCACCGTGTGACACATGTTGTAACAAAGCAGGCTGAGAAACCAACAGAACAAGTTACGTTCATGAACCCGAGTAACCCGTGATTATTCTACAGGCTAAATCAACTATATTCTGATAAAAAGTTATAAAAAAAATTTTTGTCCTCCATTAGTGGTGTCCCTGGATGGACGGCACCCTTAGCATTTGCCTACACTGCCCACGGGCCGGCCCTGTCATCAACTAATGTAGCCTAATTCTGATCCTGCTGGTTCAGAAACCTCAAGGATCAGGAACACACAGATTACCTGAGTCCCCGCTGAGACAAACAGAGGTCCACTTCTCTCCACGCTACAGCCAACATGATCAAGGTCTGACCTGAACTAAACTTCTAACACTGTTTATTGAACCTGTTACCTCGCGGGTTGGTAAAACACAAGAACTCCGTCCCACTCTCTCAGGACGTCGTAACATATGAACAACATGTAATACTGTGCATGTCAAAGTTTTAAACAAGGATTTTGCGTGATCCGTTAGAGGCCAGCGATGAGGGTGAGTCTCAGTTACTACCAGATTAAATACAGCTGATATCTATAAAACTGAGTTACTGCTAATTTTGTGTTTTCTAAGTTGGCTCTGGAGGCCATCTTGAATTATGTTGTTTCAAAATGTTCATCAGTTACAGATGTGCATCCAATGATTATTTCCTAAAAGCTTCAGTGAAATCTGCCCTATTTTTGTTAACAAAGACAGAAACACTAACACCTGCCAGTCCTCTGTTAGTGGTGGGAGAAATGCTGAAGCAGAAAACGATTCAATGAATAAGTAATTTGTAAAAGAATCACACGCGTCTCTAGAGGTGCAGCATACCATCTTGGGGTATGGCTGACGACCGTATGAGAAGATCTCCCACAGGAGGACACCAAAGCTCCAAACGTCTGACTTTGTGGAGAACTTCTGCAGGATGAGAACAAGTATCAGGTTTGGTCAAACTTCTCTGTGAAACATTGAAATCCAGATCTTTTCCAACAAATCAGCTGTTTCCATTATTTGCAGGAGAATCAAGCATTCATGAAATAACAACAAATAGAAAAATAGATGATCTAACCACACCTCTTTCTTCAGAGCTTCAGGAGCGGTCCATTTAACGGGCAGCATGGCTTTGTCCGGCTGCTTGGAGTCCGGTTTGGTCAGCCCGAAGTCGCTGACTTTGGCCACGCTGTCGTCAGAAACCAGAACGTTTCGAGTTGCCAGATCTCTGTGGACCAGCTTCTTGGACTCCAGGTACTCCATCCCTTCACACACGTCCCTGAGAGCGAGCACATCCTGGTCAGAATATGTTCTCATGTAAGCAGCATGAAGAGAACCAGACTCACAGAGCGAAGCGCAGCAGCTGAACACAGGTTATAACCAAGCGCCCTCTTGTCCTGAGAAAATTACCCAGGTTTCCCTGCAACACAAACACATCAGTTTACAAACAGATCAAACATGACTTAAAGTCTAAAAACTGGAGCGAAACTTTGAATGAATGAATGAATGAATGAATGAATGATTTTTTTGGTCACATTAAAGAACACTCCACACAAAAACAAACAAAACTTTAACCCTGTATGACCAAATTAAATTGAAAATGGATTTTGGCGCCCTCTGGTGTCAGCAAAACATCCTGGTAACTGTTTATTTCCTTTAGTTGCAAACATTCAGAATGTAGAGAAGAGAATTATCGAAACAGAGCAAGACAATTTTTGATTCCTAAATCAGGACTTTTTTTCTCCAAATTTTAAGTCGAATCTCAAAATTCCAGGAAAAAAAGGTATTTTGTCTCAGACAGAAGTAAGAGTTTTGACTTTTGTCTCGAAATTCTGATAAAATAAGAATTAAGTCAGGAAAAAGTCAGAAATATGACTTTAATCTCAGAATTATGACTTGGATTTCAGAATTATTAAAAAAACTGACTTTAACCTCTAAATATTGGCTTTAATTTTAGAATTGTGTGGAAAAAATGACTTATCTCAAAATTCTAAATAAACGTCTGATTCAAAGTCAGAATTCTAACTTTAACCTCAGAGAGAAGTCATATTTCTGACTTTAATCTCGTAATTCTAAGAATAATGCTGCGTTCACATCGAACGCAATTTCAGCTTCAAAATCGCAGCCAAAACTGAAGTTGGACGCTTATGTACTTTGAGGTCAGACGCAGGTCAGCTCTTGAAGCGCTGCACGGGAAGAGCCTCCCCGCCCCTCCCTCCTCTGTCGGGCTCTGTTTAATGTTGGACAAGGAAGTGGCTTTGCTTTATTTACAGAGAGCAAGAGCATGTCACGTTCATCAGATAATTAATTCATAATTAATTCACCAGATAATTCAGAGAAGAGGCTCACAGCTCGCTTTCAGGACTATTTTTGTCCCGAGTCCAGTCTGATGAGCCGCTGCCACGCATTGGTGTAGATATCTCTGTTAGGACACAGACTGCAGGCACTGGATTTCAGCTAAAGAGCTCCTCTCCATCTGTTTCAGGTTAGTGGACATCATTCAGTAAACTGTCTCGTCAGGAAATATGTCGCTACGTCACACAGTGGAGTCTCTCTGATTGGTTGATGCGGCGCGTCGAGCTGCAAAAGTTCAGATTTTCTAACTTCAGCGATTTGCGCCTCAGCGCGTTGAACGCTCAGATCGTTCAACTCGTTAAAATCGTTCAAATCGCACTGCTCTAATCGTGCTTGAGGCGCCGCAGCACTTCCCGACGCTGATTGAAGCGCGTCCACCATAGACTTTGTATGTAAACCTGAKGCTCCTGATGCTGAAATCGCGTTCGGTGTGAATGCACCATAAAGTGTTTTTCTCAGAATTCTGAAATTAAAGTCAAAGTTCTGACTTTTTTTCTGACATAATAGACTTTTTAAAAAATAATTCTGAGATTAACATCAGAATTCTAGCATTAACCTCAGAATTCTTAGATTAAAGTCAGAATTATGAGAGAATACAAGTCCGAATTCAGGTATAAAAATGTTTTGCTCCATGGCCTAATCCTCTTCTGTAATGATTCTGCATGAGAGAACATTAGTTTGAATGTTGGACTGAAGTGGCTCTAACTGTGGCTGTAACTCCGTTATGTGAGGCAGCGAGTGATTTGATTTCTGGCAAGGGATGTTAAATATATCATATTTTTATACTACCTGGTAATCTAAGTGTGTACGTTTTAGTTAGAAAGCACTGATAGTTACTTTGGTCATGAGCTCTGTGACGATGTGGAGCCCTTTGTGAAGGATGACGCCCAACAACCGAACCAAGTTTTTGTGCTGCAGCTTCCTGGAAAAAATAAAAAAATAAAAGGAATTCACAAACACAACATTCAGAACAAGAACAACAAATACATGAATAAAACCGTCTGTAATTATAAAAGTTTATTTGACTATTACTGTCTTCAATCTATCTGAAGGCAGATTTCAGGACTCACGTCATGACTGCCGTCTCCTGCAGGAAGGCCTGAGCCGTCACGTCGCATTTAATGATCTTCACCGCCACCTTCTGGCCCATGTACTCCCCCCGATAAACAGCTGAAGGGAGGAGAATCACAGTTTATCCAGCGAATCATCCCGCCTGTAGCTTCAAACGCACTCTCTCTGTTCATATTTTTATATCAGAGAACAGAAAAGCAGGTTTGTGTTCCACTGAACAAAAAATCTGTAATTTCTTTTTATTTTAAACAAGATCATTATATAATCTTTGTTTGTGTTGTTTTAACAACTGCTTATGAGTTTTTTTCTCACCCACCAAAACTAAATTCAGTCAGTTTCAAAACTTTATCAAGATTCTGACTCTTCCTGCTGCAATACTTCTCACAGATAACATCACTTTGAACGGCTGCCTTTTTCTTTTCTTTTTTTAAATCATTTTGAAACAGACTAACCTAACCTGGTTAAACCTTTATCATGAGGAAAAACAGAAGCGTACCACCAAACTCCCCTTCTCCAATATTTTCTCCCAGAGTGAGTTTTGTGATGTCCAGCAGCCATCCAGCTGGAAAACAAACAGATAGAGAATAACTGCTCAGCTTCATCTGTTGTAACATTATATTTTTACTCAACCAGATATGACTCAGCTCACAGCTTACTTTTACACAGCTCCACCTCAGCTGACTTGGCTCCTTGTTTCTTTTTGGGTTTCGTAAGAGTCGTAACGATGGAGTCATTGTTTCTGGAGTAGAACTGCAAAGACAGAAATAACTTCTTTGTAGCAAACGCTCTAAGTTTAAGCACTTATCTTAAAAACTATCTTATCAGTGTGACAGTTTTTCACGCTGCTTCTGACTGTCTGTTATCCACTCTCTGTTTACCCTACAGCAGTAAATAGGACGTGTCCTTAACAGCAGTGACTCAGGCACACATACATCCTGTGTGTAGTTTGCCGATAAGTTGTATCAGAAAGAGAAAGTCATCTATGAGGAGACTATCTACAAACCCGACTCACTCAAACAGGCCAAACGCAGATAAAACCATAAAAGGACAGAATTTTAATTTTTTTATTTTATTTTATTTTAACAGGATCTGTTTCTTTGGCCATCAGTTACATTTTGGTAAAAAGAGGAAAAAAACTAGCAGCACCATGTGAATGCTGAGAGCTGAATGCTTTGCTGAAATTTGGCGAAGAAGCTGAAAATGACTTTAGATACTAAATAAAATTGTGGCTAAAATCTAAATGTAAATAAACTGTCACTAAAGGCTAAAACTAGCCAAAATGTAGCTGAAAGCTAAAAGCCAAAAAGGAGGAAAATGCTAGCTAATAAGAAAACTAAGAAAGGAAGATAAACCAATACAGACATTGAAGCAAATTTCAAAGAAAACAGTAAGTTTTAAAGGAGAAAATATTTGTAAATAAAGCTAAATATCACCTTATAAATGGCTAAAATTGTACAAAATTTAGAAGCAGTTAGATCACAAAAAGATATACTGAAAAATAAAATAATGAACTTTAATTTGGGGATGGGCAACTGGCGGCCCACGGGCCACATTCAGCCCATGAGTGACTTTCCTCCGGCCCGCGAAAACATTTTTTCTTTTACAACTTTTAGAATCTATAAAGGATGAAGAATCCTTTTTTGGGATTATCTGTTCACAGAATTTCAAGGCAAAATAATGTGTGTAGTCTTCTTAGACAATATCTGCCATGAAGGATTTTAATATAAATAACCACTACAACATGTTGCACAAAATTAAATAAGAAAGGTTACTGAAGTTGCAACACTGCAAAAAAATCCAACTTTTTTTTTGGGATGAAAAACAATTTTCAGTTGAAAAAAAAAACTTGAAAAACTAAGTGTGACATATTGGGGACAATAATTTAAGTTGGTCCAAAAAAACCAAGGCAGTTGTAATTTTAAACATTATTTGTGAGTTGTCAGCACTTACATCTCTAAGTTGTAGGTCATTGCAACAGATGAAAGTGCTGCTAACTTMCATGCTTTTGTTGTGAAATTCRGGAAAGACAACTTTTGGAGTTGGCTTTTGAGTTGAAGGCAGAGTGAACTACTCGGACACGGAGCTTGCAGAGATAACTTTTGCTCTTATATTTCTGGTTTGTATTTATCCAGTCCAATCTTTTATTATTAATAATATTTAAAAAGAGAACAAAATGGGCAGAAACACAATTTGAAAGTATTTGTTGCCCTCTTCCTGCTTCTTCCACCTATCAGCTCAGAGATCAGAGTTCTGGCTCTGCCTCTTTGTTGCTGAAATGGATAATTTTCTAAAAACTCATCTCTGAAAATGACACTTTAATCTGTGATTCATGAACCATTTTGAGTTGTGTTTTCTAATGTCATATTCAGGCTTGATTTGGCATTTGTGTTTTGGTTACTGACTGTAGCTGACACCATGAGGGAAAGGTCTGTGACACAGACATAGAGGGAAAATGTCCAGGACAGATAAGTGTTATCAAGGACCAGTCATGATGGCTAAATAAGATGTTATCTATATTGACACATGGTGATGCTATTGTAGTAAATATTAGCAGATCACTTCCTGCTAATTATGAAGAATTAAACTGTTGAAGCAATGTTAAAATTTAAATTACTGCAACTCATAATGAAGTTCAGTAATCTAGATTTAAACTTGTTACAATCTATGTTAACTGTCAACAATAGAGATGGGATAAACGGATCTTTGAAGGGATCCAGATCTTGGGGAGCCATTCAAAAGAGCCATTCGATTTTGAACGAGTTACGTCATCACGTAGGGAAATATGTCATCATATCGCGTGGGTGGAACTATGTGTTTGTCAAGCGGAAACCCCCTGTCCCCCTTCCCCTGTGAGCTTCTGTACTCCGCTGCTGGAAAAAAAAAGGCGGGAGCAATTTAAGGATGAAAAATAAAGATAATACGAGGAATAAAAGAAATAAAACTGCCTGCGACTCGGCTCCCATCGATCGTTGTAAAGAGACGTTCAAAAGATTCGGATCGTTCATGAATGTCACATCTCTAGTCTACAAACTATAATGGAGTAAGAGAAATTTAAGATTCATGGCTTGTACAACATAAGTTTAACATAAAGCTGCTAATTGAACTTTCACACTCTGCTCTTACTGGTGCAATGCGCAATTAATGAAGACTGGCCACCAGGCTGGTCCAGTTTAGCCACGAAACCTCCCACACTGAAATGACAGGTGTTTCAGTTTCATTGTCCAACCCCTGTACTTTCATGGGATGTAGAAGACTCAGCATTCAAAGTTCTTACAACCTAAAACTTTAAGTTCTTACAACTTTTGGTTGAGTTACAAAAACATGGAAATCAACGTTTGACAAACTCAAAAAAACAAAACTTAAATAGTTAAGTTGAGGAACTAAACTTAAAAATGCCCTGACATTTGTTGCCTTTGCTGCCAACTTTTCTTTTTTACAGTGAAGAACATAAACAACAGACTTTTTACAAGAACACAGTCACACAGGAGTCTTGTTGTTTCCGTTCAGCTCGCTAAAGTAAGAGTTTATTTTTAGTTTGCTTCAAAAGTAATGTATTTATAGTTATTAAACCAGAGTACAATTGTTATAAATGCATTTGAGTATGAAATATGTTAAGTTATATTATTGCATGTTGGTTTAATAAACATATGTACACAGAAAATAATTTTAAACGGCAGTTTTATTACATTTGTAAGTGTGCAGCACTGTGTGACCCTCTGGCAGTGTCAACAAAGTATCGTGGCCCCTTCCATCATTTAAGCTGCTTTAATCTGTAAAAGTTAGGTGGTTTCTCTTACTTCAATCATATCGATGAGGTTGTAGAAATACTGTTTGTAGTCAACAGTCAGCTTGTTGTCCTGGTAGATCACCCGGTAATGAACGACCTCTCCGGAGAAGCTGACACACAGGACGTAGTCCCCCGGGTGGCGGATACTCTCTCGCACCAGGAACAGGCCATCTTCGGCTGGTTGGAGCTTACTCACCGCCTCTGGACCCGAGATCTTCCCGTGAAACCAGCTGGTGAAAGATGTCACAGAGACATGAACTTAGACTATGGGCATTATGGGCACAGGTCCAGAGGCCCATGTAAGCAGTTTGGAAGTGTGTGTGTGTGTGTGTGTGTGTGTGTGTG